ATAAGGATGTATATAAGCATCAAACTCCATACAACACACACACACACACAAATATACATATATATTGGATTTTCCATATATATATATATAACTTCATTTTAATTTAGTTTCGTATTTTTGTTGTTGTTGTTTTGGAGCAAGGAAACAAAATATTTATTTTTCATCGTTTTTTGTTTCCTTTTATAAACATATTTCCTTTCCACTAAGTTTCACATTTCCGAGAATGTTCACCTAAGTTTCATATATATTTAGTTTCGTCACGATATGTTGACTTTAGTACATTTATTGTTCTTGTGCTTTGTTTTTATACAAATCTATTTATAATTGAAAACTTATTATATGCTGTTGTTGACAAAATTAATAAAACTTGACGTGATACTACTTGTATCATCTAAAAAGAAAAACGTTTGGTTAACACTAGATAACACACACTGAACTAAGAGGTATATAAAATACACTAAGTTAACCTGGTGTCGACTTGGTGAAATGTGTATATATATATATACTTCTTAATTCCAATAAACTCGAAGTTGTGAACCTAATATATTCACGACTTACCACATTATATCTGCATGGAAAACACAGTTGTTCTGTATATTTATATTGTTAATCCGTAAATATTATGGCTAAGTGTGAGCCTGACAAACAATGTAGAAAAACGTTTACTTCTCGTGTCAAAATATATATTGTTACATTTTGAAAGTTTCATGTAATGTATTGCTTGTTCATTGCCTGTACGGGTTTTTCGTGCGTTTGTAATGTTTAACTAATAAAGATTTCTATCAGTGAAGACTACAGGAAACAGTTTTAATCGATCACACGATTTTTGAAGGAAAGTTTTTAGAGTAATCTTAGTTATTTATTGAAACGCATTTTCTTCGAATTGTCCGACTCTCCATATTAAAAATGTTTTTTTTTTATATATTTCCTGAATTATTCAACATTTACTGAAGTAAGAAACCTGTTATAGACCAGAAGTCTATAAGCAGTAAACTAAACAACAACAAAAGAAAACTGAAAATATGTTCTGAATTATTGTTAGTAATGCCTGACTTCGAACTATAAAATTGAGTTTATATAACCAAACCACTGTGGTAATATGTTGTCAAATATATGATTTTCAATCGCATACATTAATTGTAGAAATTCGGTGTTTGAACTCTACAATATCAACAACTTACATAAAAAATATCCATGATGTCGTTTCCTGTACGAACTGGAAAATATCTTCCAGACAATGTGTTATATCAGTGTGTATAACTTCAAGGGATAATGTTATATCAATGTGTATACCTTCCATGGAGTGTGTTAGGTCGACGCGCATAGTTTCACCCCCACTCCCTTCCTAGGTGATCAACGGAATGTTATGGACTTACAACGCTAACATGTGGGGGTCGATTCCCCGCGGTGAACACAGCAGATAGCCCGATGTGGTTTTGCTCTGAAACAAACAAACACAATCCATCGGTATATTTCTACTTTTATAAAAACTCTAGAAGTGAAAATACATGCAGGTATACTATAAGAATGACGAATCAATTCCGTTATTCATTCAGGTAAGGTCAACCATGAACTGGCCATAGGTGCCCTTGAGAAGCTACCTTCCTTCTAGTACTTCACTTCAAAAATTAGGAACGGTCCAGGGCAACCATGAACTGGCCATGGGTGCCCTTGACAAGCTACCTTCCTTCTAGTACTTCACTTCAAAATTAGAGACGGTCCAGGGCAACCATGAACTTGTCATAGGTGCCCTTGAGAAGCTGTCCTTCCTTCTAGTACTTCACTTCAAAAATTAGGAACGGTCCAGGGCAACCATGAACTGGCCACGGGTGCCCTTGACAAGCTACCTTCCTTCTAGTACTTCACTTCAAAATTAGGAACGGTCCAGGGCAACCATGAACTGGCCATGGGTGCCCTTGACAAGCTGTCTTCGTTCTAGTACTTCACTTTAAAATTAGGGACGGTCCAGCACAGATAACCCATGTGTATCTTTGCAGGAAAATTTAAACACAAGTAAATAAATTCACCTTCAATAAGATTATTTTTTTCTAAACAAAAAGATGAAAATTATTGTTACTTTAAGATTAATTTAATTTTTCAGTGCTTTAAATCAGTGATGGAATTTAGGGGAACAGAAGATAACGCCGTTTTCATTTTTAAAATATACATTACTTTCGCCTCTTCCCCTATCAACAAAACCACGTTCACAGGGAAGGTTTCGAGAGTGAGACCTTCAATGATTGGCTTGTCCTCCATGGAGACACTGTACAGCTACAACACTGTACCAAATATCTCCATTGTGTATGACAGATTGTTTTATGCAAAGCTGTAGTTAAATCTTAATTTTGACCTTATTAGTGACTGATCAATGAGGTAATTAACTCCACAGTGTGTGCGAGTGAATGAGAATACCAGTAATTTGTACGTTTCTTTAATCCACCGTATCATCTTGTCTTTGTAATGTTAATATACACTTCTTTCATTATATTTACGGAGTTCCTGTTATTAAGTAGTTTTAATTCGAACTCT